AGGTCGTAGCCGGCACGAAAATTACTTTACGACACCCAAAAACTCGACGCCTCTCACACCTGAACACCACATCACCTAAGATAATAAACAGACCTTCGACATCACTGTTAGGGATTGGGTTTATGACATGGACGCCTGTTTGCGCTATTTTTGAATGCGCCCCTTTTCTTCTTCGCGTTAATTAATTTTTCCTTCAAATTGGCCACGAAGCCCGGGAAGCGTTTTATGGCTGCAGAAAAATAACTTTTCTGCGGACCACATACCTTCCCGGTGCCCACTCGTGAACATTCAATAGACATAGACATGTCATAAAACCTCTCGCGTCTCCCTGACCGCCCAAAGTCCCGTTACGCGCGGGCTACCCTTGGGCCTCACTCTCCCGCCATCGCGACATACCGCCACCCTGTCAACTTGGAAATTCCAGGGTGGGCGGCATGCTCGCGGGCCAGGGAGGACCGTCCAAGGAGGTAGACCCGTTCCATTGGCGGAGACCACCACCTTCTACCCCTAAACCTTTTTATAAATAAGCGCTCCAACGCACATCAGATCAAAAAGGGAAAATAGACAAACACTCTTCAAAATAAAGTCTTTTTCTTTTAAAATAATAAAATACGTGCAACCTCGGCATAGACAAACACTCTTCAAAATAAAGTCTTTTTCTTTTAAAATAATAAAATACGTGCAACCTCAGCACATCACGACTTCATACCAGCAAACAACCCGCACCACGAACCAGCGACAATCCTGCGCCACCACTCTCGAACATACCGCTTGTTCGAAGCGCACGACGCAACAATCACCAAGAGATATAACAAATGTAAGAACAAATTCCCCACTTTCACACCACCATCAGACATACCGCAAACACACCGAAAAAACCTTCCACCACCTACGACAGTTTTCACACCACCAATCACAACACGCACGTAGTTTATAAAATAGCGAACACCACACGACACGACACACAATTTTCCGACCAGTAAACTTAGACATTTCGCGCTCTGTTCACGTTCATTCACAAATACATAGTTTCAATAGCAAACTGTTGTGCGTTAATAGTCAATCTTCCGAGCACTACCTGAGTTCTCTATCCCGAGTAGATTCCTTAAATGGTCTGACTCGAAAAGAGGGACAATTATCGGTTTCGCAACAAGCACATTGCGATTCGTAACACTAGCTACCGCTGCGCTGGACCGCCCCACATTGATTTTTTCAAAGTTCAAAACCGGAATACCCCCGTTAGGAAGTCAAGAGTAACTCGAGGATAATTCCACTAACCATACCAGGAAAAAGGTAACAAGAAAAGCAACGTACTTTTCCTAAAAAAAAAAACACTTCGAAATAAACCTATCCCGCCTCTTTTAACGTGCGCGAGTCTCAAATCGCGGGTATTAACGGAAAAAAGAGGAAGGGAAAAAAAGAGCGCGGTTAATCGGGTCACACGATTCGATGGAGAAGCGCGTTTTCGAGCGACAGCCCGGCATTTGGGACGAAAGCGCAAAGTCCCGGTCCGGGTTATCTTCCGAAATCAGTATCGATAGTTTCCGGCTTTCGCTTCAAAGCTTCCCCGTTTTTCAGAGCGCTTGAAAAATCCCGCGCGGATTACGCACTCGCGCAAAACAGCGGCGCGCGCGCGGCTGAAAGGCACCGACAAATGAGGCCACGCGTGCCTGTTTCCTTTTTTTCTCTTTTTCTCTCTCTCTCTCTCCGCACTCCCTCCTTCCTCTCTGCTGCACCGAATTTTTTTGTTAATATTCAACGTACGAACGCAAACATGTATGCACGCACGACCGTGCACGCGCTTCATTTCCTCCCGGGGAAATTGCATTCCGAAAATCTATTTTCAATCCTTCGTACGGTCGCGTCGGCTCTTTCTAACGCGCGCGCACACAAGCCTATTCTCGCTGCGCACGAGTTCGAGCCCCCGCGTGCCGGCACACGCCGCGACGAATATCTATGCCCATACGCGCGGATACGTGCACAGCCTGCACAATCGAACCGACGAACTACCCCTCGATCTATTGTTTACGTTCTTTCCAGCGATACTGTAAGGGACAGTCTGCTTGGTACGGCGCGGCGGAAAAGTGAGTAATTCGGTGGATAGGTACGGTTGATCGCGAAACTGTCTCGTCGATGCGTCGTTTCTGGGAACGGCGAAGTTACGAAACTGCGATTTTTGGTAATTTGAAGATGCGTCTACGATGTACAGGGTGAACCGCGTAACGTGATTACCTTGAATTATTCTGTTCTCCGTGGATAGATTGAAATTGTTTTCTGTTGCATATAACGGTGCAGAGTTCTTAAAAATAACTATGGTATACTTTTTATTAATTCTTTTTTCGAAACTTTCATAGTTACCTTCAATTGTTTTTAATATAAGTGCAGATGTCATGGAATGAACTATTTATTAATGACCGAACATTTTGAACATTGCTTCACCATCTATGTAAAATTATGGGTTTATCAACAAAAATCTAGAGGTGATCTTGAAATATATTTCTATCGTTGCACTAATGATAGAATAATTTTTTTACGCTACTTCTTAGCTGCATAATTATTTTTATCCTATCTCTTATCGGAGCAACGTACTTTTTTTTGTCATTAGAAGAGGAAAAGTGGTGGATGCAAAATATTCAAAACTCTAAATTTCGATGTACCATTATTCTTTGCAATTTCTCTGGAACTGATGTGAGGTTCAGTTTCGACATTAGAATGATTTCGTTTCTGTGTCGATTTGAACATTCCGTTTCTCTAAGTGTTTTAAGTACACAGAAAAAATGGTATTTACACGACAAATTTTCTTCCATCTTATTCACCCTTTGAAGCCATTTAAATTATATATATCCTCATAGCTAGAGAAGCTAATTAGGTGGTCAGTTTTACGTGATCCACCGTATAGAAACATTTTCGTACAAAGAAAATTTACCCTAATTTCTCCAGAAACAGAACACGTTAGTTACAAAATCTGTAATACTATACTGAACCCCAACTAATCGTACAATCGAAGCAAACATTCTATTGCAATATTGTAAGATATTCTCGTTAAACTAGCAACGTTAATCTTCCCTCCCGCCTCGTGAAAATATTCCTCATTCACGATCTAAACCGCTCGACCCTCGAAAGACCATGAAACATTTCCAACCACACAGAATCCAAGAATCGTGCAACGTACCCGTTGAAGAAGAATCCAAGAAGCCAGCCAGATTCTAAAAGGTCATAAATCTGTCTGTGTAGCATAGAAATAGAATTTTTAGAATAAAATACATGTTGCTTCTTTCTATGTGTGCTGCGTAAATCCGAGCAACGTAGCCTCTAGCTGTAAGTCTTAAGGCGGTATCTCTTCTCGCGTTCGGAGAAGAAAAAGGTGTGCGCAAGCTGTGTTCGTGAGAGGAAAAAGGACTTCCTCTCTCTCTCTCTCTCTCTTTATATATATATAAATATATATGTGGTATTTTTGCAGGTTCGTTTTTTTTGTTAGTAATGGTTGAATATATTTGCATGAGTGATAACGATTATAATAAATAACTTAACACGTTGACACCGGCGCGTACCACCGGTGGCTCACACTTGGATGTTCCATTGGACGGCGCGTACCACCAAATATGTATTGTTCAAAGTTAATTTGCTTGTTGATAATTTCAAGAATTTAAAGTATATTTATTGAAATAAAGTAGGATTTATAGCAAAGCACTATTAACGAAGCTGCCAGATGGCGAGAAACGCAAATTGCAGCGCCGGCGTCAACGTGTTAAAGTTAATATAACTTGTTTATTACAATAGGAATTCAACAACGACTCTTTCAGGAGACACTTCACGCAACGATGACAATAACTTTCGCACCGACAATAATAACCGACAACAACTGACAACCTTTTTGCATTCGCTACTCTCCCTATTTATCCTAATTCCATTCCTTCCATACCTTCGTTGCTCTCCCACTGAACACATCCCTCAGATTTGTACATCACTTCCAGTGCACACCCCCACTTTCGGGGTTTCCCGGAAGTAGTCGGCGGGCCCAGTGGCGCGTTATAGCTTCATGAGGCCCCGGGAAAATTTGAATTTGGGGGCCCCATGTACAGTGAATGAGGTTATAAAAGATTGGTTTGGGGCCCCACTCGTTGGTGGAGGCCCCGGTCAATTGCCCCTTTTGCCCATAGGATAACGCGCCACTGATATGGGCAACCCCGGGCCCTAATCTATTTCAGCGAAGTTTGTCTTCGATCTTCGCGTTAAATTTGTAGCATCGAAAAATTCTCGGCTATACCTGAGTTGCCGTGATAATAAACCATAGAGCCGAGTCGCGAAGTAGACCCTTCGCGAGGGGCCTTGGTGACGCACGAGGCCCGCCGTCTACTTTCGGGAAAACCCGAAATTATCGTCGAGGCGAGAGCTATCGTCGTCGTTGCGTGGTGAGTCCCACGAAAAAGTCGTCGTTAAATTTTGTTTATATTAAAATAGTTATATTAGCTTTAATTCGCTTATTGTATTCCTATCGCTCGTGTAAATATATTCATCCATATTAAAGAAAAAGGAACAAACAAACCTGCAAAGATACCACAAATTCTTTATACCGAAGCGTTGTATTACAAATAAACGAAATACGAAGCAGCAACTTGTTTTAATTCCTTTAATATTGATTTATTTGATTTAACAATTTGGCCTGGCCCTTGACTAGGAGAAATAGGAAAGCTTAGACATGGTTGCTCCAGAGTCAGGCATTTTTGCTCCATCTTTCCTTATCGCTCGATCAAATAATGCAGGGGAATAAAATAGTCGAAACACAAGTTCGAAGAAAGTGTGGATGACGAGTTATACTTAGAATTGAAAGAAATGATAAGTACAAAAACGGAGCAAGGGTAACAACAGAGTGTGGTATTGCGTAAAAGACCTTGCATTTGTTAAGTTGTGAACACAGTTGCACCATAATGAAAAAACATTCATCGGGGTATATAAGCTACTGTCATACAGCAGCATAATTCAGTTCTGATTGAAACGAGATCAGAAAGAGTTCCGTGAACATGAATAACTACGTTCTTGCTTTGTTCGTCGTTGTGGCGGTGTTGGCTACCTGTAAGTAGTTTATCGAACGACTTTTTTTCAGTATCGTGCGAATAGTGTGAAAAGAAAATGGTCGAATTAGAAGCTACGTTTGGTGTGTTACTTGTTTTAGCTGCGTTTGCTGAGAAATTGGTATGTGACAGACCTAACGAGGAATATCGTTGTGGATCGGCGTGTCAGACGACTTGTCGGAATCGTGGAGAAGTTTGTCCCATAATAAACATCGTGAGTCTTACATTCGACAAATAGAGGACAAATTTAGACTTAACCCTTTGCACTCAAAGGTCGTTTTGCTGTAGGAAAGGTTGCAAATCGGATCTTCTTTGAAAGTTTTTTCAATCTAACTGTGCTATCCTATTTAAATATTCGATGCATTCTCTGTTTCTCTATGGTGAAGAAATTTATGGAGGCCAAAGGATCTGCTCTCTGTCTCGAATTATTTCTCAGTCGCCCCTCGATTGCAAAGGGTTAATTTCACTCGGTTAAAGGTCATCTTCATTCCACGAATAGAACACAAATTCAATTAAAGATACTCTTCATTCGACAAATACAACAAATCCACATTTCACTTCATTCAGTTGAAGATTTCAGATCACGAAAAAAGGTAGATTTGTCATTAAGTTTCTATTTTATAGAGATGTAACGACGATTGTTACTGCATCGATGGCTACGCAAGGAACCTTCGAGGCCGGTGCATCCCCATATCGTTGTGTCCACCCAAATTTCGTATAGGAAGACGCCGCAATCCGTTCTCGACACTTCCACCGTTTCTCCAATCTACAGAGCCTCGTAATTTAATCGTTCCGTAAATTTACTGAATGAGAGTTGTTGTTTTTTCCGTCTGGCAAAAATGAAGAAAGAAGAAAAACAAGAGAAACACAGATAACATTACCGACGCCGATTACGCCGTCTCGCGTTAATTAGCTGCGCAATTCCATCCGCAATAAACACGGGCTACGTCATCCGTGAAAAGCTAGATGTGTACGATATTCAATAACAATGCCAGTGTATTAAATTCCTATTTATTCTTCCTTCCTAGCGTATAGGTTGTATTGGTTTTTACAAGTCGTTGGATACTTGACACGTTTGTTAATAAAAATCTTATCATTCTTCCCGTAGATTTATCATGTTTGCATAAATTATTATTATTACCCGACATGTCTGTGAGTTGGTTAAAAATGTTCAAAAATCGAACTCATCGTGGCGTTTGCTACAACCCCTTATAGCTCACATTTTTCTCTATTTGACGTATCGGAAATGATGAATTTTATTCTTCTTCCAGGCGGATATTAAAATAACGACATATTTTCCAGGCGTGTAGAAATAAGTCTTCCATTCGTGACTTCGATTTTTGCGATAGAATAGAAATGCAAAGCGCAATACGAAGAGTGAAAGAAATAATAATAAAATACTTCTCAGGCGTGTAGAAATGAATTTTCCATTCGTTAGTAACACCGTGACTTCGATTTTTGCGATAGAATGGGAAGAGTAGCGCAATACGAAGAGTGAAAGAAATAATAATAAAATAAAATACTTCTCAGGCGTATAGAAATAAGTCTTCCATTCGTTAATAACACCGTGACTTCGATTTTTGCGATAGAATAGAAATGCAGAGCGCAATACGAAGAGTGAAAGAAATAATAATAAAATACTTCTCAGGCGTATAGAAATGAATTTTCCATTCGTTAATAACACCGCGACTTCGATTTTTGCGATAGAATAGGAAGAGTAGCGCAATACGAAGAGTGAAAGAAAATTGCACTTTTTCGAGGATTACTCGATGTAAAGACACAATCGTTAAAGGGTTAAGCAGCTTTCGGTATTATACCAGAGTCGGTTGTCCAGGTGCTGACGAGCCGCAGACTCCAAAGCCGGCAGGAACAATCGGAAAGTCAAACAGTTTGACCAGGCTCGAAACGGAAGAGCTCCAATATTTGGCCCGGTAATGTAATTCACGGAGTAGTCGAAAGTGCTGAACCCTCCGACAATCCTTTCTCCCTTCGTTTCTTCTACTCATTTTCTACACATCGTTGCGTTAGCAGCGACGAGAGATCGCGAAGTCGGATGGAAAAAGAGCACGCGGAACGAGAAAATGTTTACCAATAAGGTCAGCCTAGATAAAAGTTTATCGCTGGCGAGAGGCGGCCGGGCCTCGATCTTGTTAGTTTATATACGTTCTCCTCGAATCCGTTCGCGATCCTCGGTGTTTGGTAAGAAGAAGAAGGGTTATCTGTGTCTGTTCGTGAGCAAAGTGTTTGCGTTTCGCTTTCACGGATTCGACGGAACAACTATTTACCATGCGCCACCGCACACCGTTCGCCATTTCTTTGCCGAGAGATCTTTGTTCAGCCGCGGTTCTACGCAGTCGAGGTCCGCGGGGATCTCTTTCCTCCTCCGACAGCTATTACGCAAATATTCACAGCCTACCGATGGATTACGTTAACCCTTTCGTTACTAGAGGCGACTATAGGCGGTTTCAGATTTTCCTCGAGCGTTTTGACGCACTTCAACTTGATACCTAATTTTATGCTTTATAGGCTTTCACCTTGATTTCAGACTCAATTTTATGCTTCACGCGCTTCCATCTTAATTTGGTATTGAATTTTATTCTTGACACGCTTTCGCGTTAATTTAATAAACCGAATTTCGAAAGGATACGGCCGAAATAAGAAATTGTGCCACGCACGTTACGCGTTAAAATCTGCCGTAGCGAAGGGGTTAAAGCTCGTTAGAGGGTTAGAAGGTTAGATTCTGCCGTTGGAGATAGGAGAAATTGTCGAGTGTCTTTTTATATGGTAGAT